ACTTGTTTTCATCAGTGTTTATTTAGTGAGAAACTGTTCTGCTGTGATTTTGAGCTTTGGTGTCAAATTAATCATTTAAAGCATTGTTTATGTAGGAATAAAAAAGCAGGAACAGGAGGCCCAGAGAGGCTGAGGGATATCCATCTTTGAAACTCAACTGGAAATGACCCTGAGCAACCTGCTGTAGTTGAATCTGATGTGAGGAGTGGGGGTTGAGTTAGGTGATGACCATTTCATGGTACATGAAGTTAGCAAGCACTTGGTGATTGCCTACACTGTGTGTTTTGGTTGGTTTTAGAGCATTGGCCATCACCCCTGAAATTTCACAGCCCATGAAATCCCCACTTATAGTGGGATTGATTTACCTCAACATGTGTATATGGTACCACCTGAGATGCCCTACTGTGTCTCACTTGGCCTCTGGCTGCAGCTCCAGAAAGGGAAGGATGTCTCAGAAGTATGTGGTTATACTGCCAACCCTGAGCAGAACTCTTACTATGCTCTGGAGCACCCCAAAAATCACTAAGTGTATTTTGGAATTACCTAGGAATTAGCAACTGCTGGTTATGCTAATTTTACTGACTGTGGAGCCATTTTGCTGATATTTCCATATTTTAGTTTGCAGTGATGATTTAACACATAAATTCAAAGGCTTCACTGTGATGAATGAAACTGAGCGATACGAAGCCCTCAGACACTGTCGTTATGTGGATGAGGTCATCAGAGATGCACCCTGGACACTGACACCCGAGTTCCTTGAGAAGCATAAGGTACATTTATCCCCTTATCTCGCCCTTCCCTTTTGTAGACTGATGGTTGAGAATAAACAAGTCTGTGAACTTCTGTTAGCTGGAGGAAATTATTTAATTCAGTTAATTTCAGTCACTGGGATCAGGTAAATAGTATTGCTTGCTCCATCTCTGTCAGAAAATGTTGTATTTGTCTTGCCTTTTTGGCTCAGTATGCTACAAGGATTTCTGTAGTAGAGTTTTTGAAGGGTAAAATAACACTGAAGAATTATTCACAAATTAACTTTCAGGAAAGGAGATTGTGAACCAGGAAGGTTGTCACATAACTGAAGTCCTGTATTAAAGGTACATTTCTTATTAGTGGTAACAGGTACAATACATAAAAATGCCACATGTCCTCTAAAGGGCAGGACAGAATGTTTTATCTGGTATGCATTGCCCTGCAACCTATATGAATCTTAACAAAAGCATAATTAACTCCAGTGTATTTTAGTGTCCACATGACTGGGTGACAAAATGACAGCATGACAGTACTCTATACATGTATATATGCACAGCCCTGAGGAGCCAGAATCAATAATCCTGCCTCCATGGTTTCAAAAGCCAAGGCTTTGCCCCTTGGCTTAGCTCTTACAGGAGCAATAAAAGCAGGAACATGCAACTTAGGTTTTCTACAGCATATCACACTGAGGCAGACGTGGTGGCAGTGCTTCTGGAGACAAGCTTCTTGTCCTTTCATAACTGATCATACTGCACAGCAGTTGCAGGCCAAAATCTAGTGCAGTATTCTAGGTCATAGCTTTAGGATGAGAGTGTAAAACACAAGTTAGCTGAAGTCAAGAAAGGAGATGATGCTCCACAACAATCCCCCAGTGAACCAAAATTCAGTGATGGTGACATGTGTTTGTTCTGTTCACTGGCAGATTGACTTCGTAGCCCATGATGACATCCCATACTCTTCTGCTGGCTCGGATGATGTATACAAACACATAAAGGAGGCAGGTAAGGGCAACTTTACATTTTTATCACCTTTCTTTTCAGCCTCAACTCAAATTCTTCTACTGTCTTTTAACCACAACTCCTGGGAGAGAAGCAGTAGAGATATTATCACATTGTCTTGCACTCTATTGGTAGGTACTGCTGATTTGATCAGAAAGATTCACTTTGTAAAACCACAGAGTATGTCTGTGGCTGAATTCCTGCCATAACCCCAAGGAAACCATTCAGATCTGGCACAAAAGAATCCCATCTGGAGTTTTTTTAACAATTTTAGGGTTCTTGACTGAGTTTTGAATGGATGAAAATTAGTTCAGTTCCCCAATCAGCCCAGCCAACTTCAGTCATTTGTTGATGACTACAAGCTGATGTCTCCTTGACATATCCCAGTCCTGAATATGGGCAAGCACAGGCAACCTTCAGGAGTCATTAGGATCCACTTCTGATTTGCACTGAGGGTTCTTTTCATTACACTAGCAGAGGGTTTAAATTGGTACCAGAGTAATTAATTTGCCATGACTGTATAGCAGTTTTGTTGATTGCCATATTACAGCGAACATGAACATGCTAAAGTCATTAGGAGTTTGTATCTCTTCAGTTCAAGGAAGTTGAATTAAATCTGAGGAGATAACGTTAAGCTGCTGTCTGCCAGCAGTAGCTATCCTAACACAGTGATCAGTGAGGGAAGAGGAACTGATTATAACTTTCTATTTCTGCTCCCTTGGAGATGCTGTGTTGAACCCTGGCGAGTCCAACCTCTTTCTGGTCCACATAAACATGGATATTGGAGGCTTAAAAAACTCCAGAGCAATCTGCCTGATGGTAATTTGTCATGCAAAGTGACCTTCTCAAGCCATGCAGTGACAGCAGTAGACCAGGTATTGACCTGAGCTGCGGGGAAAAAGCTTTTTGTAGCAGTTCTTGATCTTTTTCCACTTGCCAACCTCCCTGTGGGGTCAGACTCCCAACGCTTCTTTGGGAACTCCTGTAGTCTCAGAGCCAGTGCCAGCTTACTTCAGTAGGCAGTGGAAAACAGGCACCTCTGGTAGGGATGAGTGACTGAGGGGCACACAGCACACATGCTGGACAGGCAGCTATTTTGCTCTTCTTCTGTAAGGTGCTGAGTGCACAGGACAATATGACAGAAGCCTTTGGTGTCACTGCATCATTACTGGACTGAGTGTGAGAGAGCCCAAACCTGGCACATTCTGCTCTGCTGCTGTTGGGCACAGGTGTAGTATGCATGGCCTGGTGAGAAGTTCAAACTTGGCAGAATAGAGTATGGACTTGTGGTCTGTCACTGTGAGATGCCAGAGAAACATCCTCAGTCTAGTATGGATGAGTTTTATTAAGTATAAACCAGGGATAATGTTACCTTATTTGTGAAGAGTTTTGAGATCTAGTGCTGTAATAGTCCTAATGCTCCAGAGCAGCATTATTGCAGTAATCAATTTCCCCTTTCTCCTAAGGGTTTTGTTTGAAATAAACTGGTGCTGTGGATGCATTTATGCATTTTCCTTAGTTGCAGTACTCCCATTTTCCTGCATCAGGTTGTTCGAGAGCAGAAAAGCAAATGGGAACTGTGGAGCTCCTTGTGTAGATAGATTCCCATGGGCTCCTATTTCCCCACTCCCTTCAGTGGGTGGGAAGACATGTGGGTGGTGGTGTGCTGGGTAATGGTGTGCTGACTAAACCTCTGCACATCTGGGAACAATTAGTTTGGAAGACATGAATCAGTCCAACACATGGAGCATGTGAAAGCAAAGTCAGTGACTAAAGGTAATGTTCACATACAGTTCTGCTTTTGGCTTAGCAAGGGTAGGGTTTGGGTTTTGTTCATGCATTCTGGTAGCTCCTATCTGTAAAGGTTTCTGGCTCAAAGTGGGTTTCACTGCTTCCAAAAATAGTTTCCTGAGTGACTGCTGCAAGCCTGAAAAGCACGATCAGGGAAACATGTCTGCTCATGATTAAATAATTATTTTTTTAGCAGAGTATTAATTAGAGATCAGAAAGGAAAAATATCACATAGCATTTAGTCACACGAGGCTGCTAAGCTTCTTGATTCCTTCTCTGGATCTTTTTCTAACCCTGTGAAATTAGCTAGCAGTGCCTGCCTACTTCAAGTGAATGTCTGAGGATTAATTTTGCCAGTAGCTATAGCACCATTTTAAGACAAAGCGTTGCTTTTTTTTTAAAAAAAAAAAACCATGTACAGTCTTCTCTCACAGCTCTCTTAAAAAAAACCCCATGTACAGTCTTCTCTCACAGCTCTCTCTCTCCCTCTGTCTCCTCAGCAGCTTGATGTTGCAATTATATATGAGTGATAGTAGTAATTTTTCCTAGCCCTAAGTAACTGCTAAACCAAGGTGTGCCAGCCCTCTGCTCTTACTGCATTTGTGACTTGCATTAACAGTTCAGGTGATCCTGTCTCGGTGAGGAGCAATTAAAAAGCAATATATACATTGGCTATGTTGAGGAGAATACAAGCAGTGTTGATAAATGGCCAGTTTGCTGGGACTGATTGGTCAGAGCAGGGCGTGTGGTTATGCAGCCACTGGCATGGCTGGGTGGACAGGAAAGGTATAACCATGTTTGTTCACACTACCGTTACACTTCACCTTCCTGTTACAAACTATTGGCACCTCCAGGGGCTTTTCCAGTTACTGTAAGACATCTTTCACCTCAAGGGGCTGACTGGCTTTGGTCAAGGCCAGAAGGTGATCTGTTTTACTCAACAGAACAAACAGTGCCAGCTGGGGCAGCGCAGGAGTGATGGGCAGAGTGGAAATACGTGGGAGAGCAGCAAACCACTCTGCTCCTTTATATAACATTATGTAGGGGCTATGCTTGTGTAG